CTTCTCACTGTTCTCACTGACCCTGAGGCTAAAAGCTCTCACAGATCATAGTGCCCAAGGTCAGGGTTGAAACACAATCCACACAATCCCACCCGGCTTAAAGCCTCGAAGGCCGATTGAGTCCCGCTTGTTGACACAAAAGAGAAGTAAACACAACATCACGGGGGTCGGGAAGACAAACAATTGAAGGGCTTTTGGAAAATGAGCATAGCTATCCACCAGCTGCTTAGGCGCCACTGGCTTCTAAATAGCTTTAAAGAAGTTTTCTGAACTTTACTGAGGAGTAGATGTTAAAATTAGTATTTTGGCTTTAAGTTAAATTAAAATAAAACCCCCAACTTGGCAATGCATTGATGTAATAATGCTTAGTTTATCTTGTGTAAATGTAAACAGACAGGAAAAACATTATTTATACAATATTGCATCAGTAGGTTTGCATGCAGTGTAAATGGTCTAATATACCTTTTGCTGTTTAATATTGCTAATATTGATCAAACAACAGTATATTGATCAGAGAAAAACACCCATTTGTTCTTATCTGTTAATATGCAGTGGGGTAATTTATATATTTATTATTTATGTTTAAGCTCTTGAAGATCATGAAATATCATAGTTCATTTTGAGCTCTAGAACTGTTATTGTTAACTTGAATTGTTTGCTACTGTACCTGTCCTGGAAATTGCTCCTTGAAACATGTAAATTCTCCTGTAGCTGTTCTTTTTTTTTGGCTAGAAAAAGAAACTGTCTGCAATTCTGCAATGAATATAAATGTGATGGAGTGGAATAAGAGTAATAAATAGGTCAGATATATAGATTTATTTGATTTTTTGTTTTCTTTTCACAGGTGATTCTGATTCTCACCAAGCTGTATGACTTTCACCTTGGCAGTGTAACGGAAAGCACTTTATGGAGGTGAGCTAAAAGCTACCATCTCTTCCTCTCCCTCCCACATCTCTCCTCCCATCTCAGCTCTTTTCTCATTCTCCATTACATCTATCCCAGGCAAAGTATGTGAGCGATGGAGAGCGGAGTTGCTTGATTATGCCTAGAGTGAGGAGCAATAGTATTCACTTCAGGAACCGTTCCATCTCAACCATGACACTTGCACATCTGCAAGAATTCACAATGTATTAAACAGTCTTAATTGCATATTCACAATTTTAATTTATTGACACATTTTTATGTGGACAACTTATCTTATCTTATCTTTGCCAGTTAAGTATAGCCTGTTTCTTAACTATCTCCATATTTAAAGCAAGAAAAAAAAGCCTTTGACACTGATCCAAGCCATAAAAGTCCTCTACAATCTAAATTCAATTTATTTTGTCGTCCCTTTGCAATCCTTATTGCCTCTGTTAGATTCTCGTTTACCAGTGATTTTGGATGCTTTGTGCAATTGAGAGCGATAGGAGCAGCCTTATCTTTCACACGGTCAACTGAACACTTCAATTTGGACAGAGAGAAGCTTTTGTATTGAGGTGCTTAAGTCTGACGATTTGCGATGACGTCTGATTTGAGATGACAAGTGCAGTGCTCTTTTCATGAGCTGCTGTAGGGCAGAAGGGTTTCAAGGTTAATGGGTTTTCTGAGAATACACAATGATTTTCCTAGTAAAGGATGTGTCTTATTCTATGTGCAATATAAGTACAAGCTATGACAGGTCTATGTTACTCCTTAATCGTTGTGCAATTAAGCAATTACTGTGCATTTCGTCAAATTTGGAAAGATAAGTCAATTATACTGTATATAATTCATATTCAGTTTTAAAGAATGTAAGATTTTACACTACAGTACATTGTCCATTTCTCATATGTTATATGTAAATATAACATAAATAACATTAAAATAGCAATTTTATCTGTAAAAGTAGTAATTTTATTTTATTTTATTTTATTTTATTTCTGATATGCATGTAATTTGAAATTATAAAATGCAGAGAAAAAATTAGTTGGAGATGGCGAGAAAGAAATAGAGCAGTTAAACACATTAGCCTTTCCACTTTTAATCAACAGTACCGCAAATGCAAACACAGACCCGACTGTCATGATGAAGACTGAATTCTCACACTGTTGTGTAGTCTAGCCTGCTAAACCCTGTGGATCTGTGCAGCCTCAGTTTTAATACATCACAATGACTGCTCCCACAGCAATGAAAGTAAGTATTGACAAAATGATGGCTTGCTAATACTCAGTTTTCCACAAATCAGGCCTCTGGGGAGTTCTTTGCTCATTTACACAGGCTAACAACAAACATAATTCATGACACCGCCTGCCATTTTCTTTCTGCATTTGCATTTAGCTTTGGTCACTGACGGTGTTTCATGATAAAATACACTTCAGGGCCCACACATCTTCATTCGTAATTGAGATCAAAGTTCAATTAAGATGGAGGTGGGTTTTGAAGGAGCAACTGGTGAAGTTTAGTTCCGCTAGCAGAAAACTAGACAGCTGTTGACTTTTTGAGAAAGGTCAGGGCACGAGCATCGCTCTGAGAAACTCTGTGTCAGTTTTAATGAACAGCATGACCTTAAACAATGGAGCAGGATCAGTAATTTTTCCAGATAATATTCAAAGTGAATGAACCCCTCCTGTGTGTGGATGTGAAGGAAATATCGGTGCCAGTAGAACTGACGCTTGTTTTGCTCAAAGCACTGTGCCTCTGTCTCATGCAAACATCCTGGGTTCTCGGAGGAGGAGGAAACACCTAATACCTTATTTATAATTCATTAGCAACAAATAGATGCAAAACGGAACTCTTAAGTTCTGAAACGTTGTTGCACTTTAATAGGATAGGAGTTAGTTTAAAGGTGCAGAATGTAAGGAATGGGTACTGTAGTCAAAATTTAAAGGGGTCATATGATGCGATTTCAAGTTTTCCTTTCTCTTTGGAGTGTTACAAGCTATTGGTGCATAAAGAAGATCTGTGAAGTTTCAGGAACAGCAGTAGTGTTGATGCAGCCATGTCAGGGAGTGGTGTTCGGCCAATCACAATGCACTGGTTCAGCTGGCCAATCAGAGCAGACTGCGCTTGTCAAAGGAGGGGGCTTTGTTGAAAACGACGTGTTTGAGAGAGGCGGGGCATAGAGGACCTACAATAATGTACAGTATTTGAAAAATAATGTGTTTTTTGAACATTAAAGCATGTCAACATATTCTGTTACACCAAATACACAAAATAATGATCTTTAAAATAGCATCATATAACCCCTTTAAAATACTGGAGAGAGTTTTTCCTCCCGCCACCTCCTCAGACTCAACGCTCATGCGGGTTGCCAGTTTGAGGATACGCAACAGGAACAAGCGCAGTTGTCAATGGAAGGTGAAAAGCCTTATCTTTGAAAAGTTGCATTTATTCATCCGTGTTTTATTTTGTTTCTGGTCATAGAGATTTTTAGATGGACGTCGAGGCTTTTTTAGGTCATAGAATCTGCGATCTCTGACCCAGTTCATTTGCTGGTTTCAAAGGCTGCAATACGATGTGTTTCCCGGCAACTGGCAACCCGGAGTGTCAAAATCCTATTGGGTAAATTGGCAGTGGGTAGAATCACACAGACCAAAACAAAAACAGACATTCTGATACGAAACACATTGTTTTTTGGAGAAACAATAATGTGAACTTAGCATGTTTCCTAAATATCTGCAACATTGTTACAGTATTTTTATGCTTTAGTACAGTCCAAAACAAAACAAAAAACAAAACAAAACAAAAAAACAAAACATACAACTCCTTTAAAGATAAATAATGAGAATAGTTTTTATGAGCCCCAATCAGGCTTTTTTTCTGTTAGAAATGACTGTATTTTCAAGATAATGTGAATAGAGTGATTGCTCTTCAAGTATTTGCATCAGTATTTGCACTGTTTGACTGTAAATAGAATTTAGCGATAATTCTATTCAAACATAACGTGATCTGATGTACCTGCTCTAAAACGGCATATAGTTGCTTCAGGACCACTAAACTCCACTACTTGTTTCCACCTGACATTGCTGCCTAGTGGGGTCATGCAAGGGTGAGCGCTGACAGACTTTCAAATTGCATCATTTTGGCAGTGGCAGGTCCTATATAGAGTTGATATTTCACAGGTCAGCGCGTGCAACACCAGTCAGACCTTTCAGAGCAGGACTTACCTGATGTCCCTGACCTTTTAAAGAAGTCAGAACTTACCTCTCAGCGAGAAGAAAAACAAGAACATTGCCAATGTTCATTTTCCCCATGGATTCTCTTTGTGCCATCTCTTATTAGAGGACGACAATTGTCCGGCTGTTTTTACGATCTTTGTGGCTTTATGGAATTGACATGCTTGATTTCCAAACAATGCACTCTGATCAGACAAGACAGACATTTATATTGCAGTGTGCCACAGAAGTATTTTAAACTCTTCGGACTTTAAAATGAATAATAAATATCTGAAATCTTGCTTTTTCCAACAATTTAGAATTTACTTTGAATAGTATGTATGAAATATGTTTGTATGTATGAAATATGTATGTATGTATACAGTATTATTATTATCTCTTGGTGCTATATTTGGCCATACCTCATAAACCTCAGGATTATGATTCCTTATTTAATATATACTGTATAAGATTTATGAAAATTCTGCGGGCTCCCGCTTCACCCCCTCTCAGTGCTTTCTGACGACAATCATAAATCACTAACGATTATTATTCAGAAGGTCATTTACCACACTCTATATTTATTGATATTCTTACCTTTTTAATTACACTCTGGTGGGACTTCCCCTTATATCCTGGAGCCAGCTCTAATTTAGAGTCTGTCATAATAATAAATTGAGAATATCATCACAGCCATCAGCATGTGCTCGCTAGACTGGATTTGAGAGCGGTTTTCTAGTTTCAGAAGCAGCCTCAAAGGTACTTGCTATGTTTGCTGTAATCAAATTAAAATCCCATCAACATGCCAGATGTGTCAGAAATGGGAGTCGGACCGTTACCTGTCCTGCTTTGGTGGCCCCAAGGGTCTTTCATTCTAAGCAAAATAGTCTAAATAGATGAATAGAGTCATATACTTGACACATAATCTCTGTTAACATAAAGACTGTAGGTTTAAAGGTCTCATTTTCCTTTTATCACGGCCCCAATTATTTATTATAATGACACATGTCATATTGTGCTTGTCTCCAGAGCTTATCTGTTGAATTGAGCGTTCCGTTGATGAGAAATCTGGTTTCATAGCTCTTTTTTTAATGTTTAATGTAAGTATGTCAGGAAAATAAGCAACTGACTTATTAGTGCTGGCTGATATGCAGAGCAGGTTGTTTAGACTGATTTTGACCAGAACCAATCATAAAACGAAAGCATGCACAGTTACAATGGTTTGAAACCTTTGAGCTGCACGTGCTCATGCAGAGCATTAAAATAAGTATAATTAGTTTTATATTCATCCATATTAATTTAGCTGATATTCTTGTATGTATATTTATCTGGATTTATCTTATTTATCTGGATTGAAAGGAAATGCAAATGCTTGCAGGGCTGCAAAAGAGTAGCATTATGCTTTAGACTTTGGTTTTTGTTTCTGTGTAAATTAAATGGTGCTTTGCTTTTGTCATGACACTCAGAGGACATCTTGCTTTCAGTTGGCCGCACATACTAAGAATTGTACAGTTAAGTACTTTGGAATTAGAACAAACAAACCCATAATTACAATGCTGGATTACTATTAAAACATTTTCAGCACTGTCCATCTTTGTTATTAGAAAAAGTAGGGTGTTTTGGGTGGTTTCTATGTTGTTCTTGGAGGTTATTAGGTGCTTACTGGCACAAGTCAAAAGAGCCCCAAGTCTCTATGTTTGTCTGTTTTGTTTTGTTTGTTTGTTTTTTTATTTGCTTGTTTGTTATGTTTTTGTTTGACTGTTTGTTTGTTTTGTTTTTGTTTGACTGTTTGTTTTG